TGAGCACCTTCTTATCCCAGTCGAACTGGGGCTTAGCAACTTCGAGGTAGTACATGCCTAGCAACATATCGAATGGCAAGTCGTCGCTAACCAAGTATGAGATTTTATGGTTAAGCTCACCTCCTCCATAGGAGAAGGTACAGACCACGTCCTTGATGTAGTCTGTTACAATCATGCGCTCCTTGTTGGCCAAAGTAGATGCTACAGGTCTACTAAGGTGCCGTACCCGGTCCTGTAGGTGCAACCTTTCCAAACAGTCGCGACTTATGTAATTCCGCGTGGATCCGTTCCCTTTGGGGTCTTACTCCCTGGAATGATTTCTATAGCGTGGACGACTTCCCTATCAACAACTCTTGTGGGCTCCTCGAACAGATCGGGGAACTTAGCAACGACGCGTTCTATCTCTAGGGGTGTTTTAACGGCCTCCCCCTTCTCAGAGACATAAACAAGATACATACCCTCCTCTTCGTTTTGCTCGTAATAGTTATAGAACGCAGATGCGCACAAGCAGCCATACGTATCTATAATACTCTTGGCCTTGAACTTGGCCAATCTGACAGTTCGGCCATCGGGCAACTTGTGTTTGAGCACCTTCTTATCCCAGTCGAACTGGGGCTTAGCAACTTCGAGGTAGTACATACCTAGCAACATATCGAATGGCAAGTCGTCGCTAACCAAGAACGAGATTTTATGGTTAAGCTCACCTCCTCCATAGGAGAAGGTACAGACTACGTCCTTGATGTAGTCTGTTACAATCATGCGCTCCTTGTTGGCCAAAGTAGATGCTATAGGTCTACTAAGGTGTCGTACCCGGTCCTGTAGGTGCAGCCTTTCCTAATTCCGCGTGGATCCGTTGTCTATGAAGGCTCCACATTTGCGGCCTCCTACATCCACTTCCACCACGAAATGTTCCCCTCTAGGACCTTTCCTCAGCGCCACCCAAGACTCGCGAGGGTCCTTGTTTGACCACTCACTCTCCAAGTCTTCTAAGGCTTCAGACACATCTAACGTACAGAGCATAGTTTGGTCTAGTTGTGTCTGCGGGGCGACTAAGGGGTCATTAGCCTGGGCCTTGTCATGAAGTAGGGAGGGTATCATTCCTACTTCATCTTGAGTAGAAGCAGCTAATACTTCCACTGGCCTCACGTGTTTCCTGAGCTTGAAGCCTGGGAATAAGTTGCCCCCATCTTTGGAGCAACCTTTTGTGTAACCTTAGCGTTCTGGCACTTGTACTGCGTGTGTCCGTATTCCCCGCAGATGATACAAGCGCCACGCATTCGGCGCTCACGCCACACGTCTTGATCAAGACCTGCCTTAACCCAGTCAGCCTCTTTGGTCTGATTGGAGGCGGCATTTCCTTGACCCCTAGGTTGGCCCTTCCCTCGGCCACCTGCCTTAGTCTTTACTACTGCGGCAAGGGTGCTACCCTCAGCTACCTCCTCGCCGTCTTGCTCTGAATAGTCCATCAGGTCTGAGAGTTTGTCAATCTCAGTTTGAGTCCCATCAGACTCAACCATCATCAACTTTGCTCCCTTCTTTTTCCACTCCTGAGGACTCTTCTTCTTCTTTGAGTCACTCTGTGAGGTGGGTTGAGCATTGCCTAGAGTGGCCTCCAAATCTAAGGCCTTCCTAGACAGTGTCTCAAACGAATGGTACACAGTGCGTGCCTCGCTAGCCAGTAAGTTCCTGATGTTCTCTGGTAAACATCTAACAAAAGTAGTTAGCAGGAACTGGTCACTGTAGTCGATGCCTGGGACGAGGATCAGACTCTCAACGGTAGTCGTAAGCTCTCTAACTGACCTGAACTTTCGTTGGTCTAGTTTGTTAATGGCATAAGTGGCTTTTTGTGCCTCATGGGGGTTATGCCATCGAGCTTCTACCATTTCCATGAATTGGTCTAAAGTCAAAGACTTGGCCCAATCCGCCATGCATTGCCCGTACCCGGCCTTCACAACTACACCATCTAGCCACTTGGCTGCCTCACCCTCTAGGTAAGACGCCGCAATTACCACTTCGTCCTCAGGCAAGGTCCTTTTGGCCTTCACCCAAACCGGGACCGTCCTCAACCATGTGTTGAGTTCCTCGTCCTTTCTCTCGCCTGAGAAGGCAAGAGGCGGTTTCATTGGGGTCTTGGGGTACCATTGACCTTGCGACTGTCCAGATTGCTGAACAGGTTGTTGTGGTAATGTAGCAATCACCGTTGGACCCGAAGAAGAAGATGCAACAGTCTGTGCGGCTGCTGCAGACGTACCACTTGGTTGTGAACCAGCTTGAACTGGAAAGGGGCCTGACATCGCCGTTAACGGCAACGGCGATTGCGCTGGTGGCCTAAATCTTGGCTTTGTCAAAATGTCCAGGATCTGGTCCAAAGTGTTCTGCATGAAGTCCATCCTGTTGTCCACGTGTGCATGCAGCGACAGCATGTTGTCCCTCAACACTTTCATGGGCTCATTCATTCCTGAGTCATCTAAGCCCTCTAAGTTCGCTTTGTCAGCCTCTAATGTTTCAAGCCTGGCTGTTCTATTCTTTATCTCTTTTTCTCTATCGGTAGCCTCTTTCAGATCTTTCTCTAACTCTGCACGGATCCTTTCGACCTGTTGGAGCTCCCTCATCTCCCTTTCGCGAGGAGTCAACGGGCTGTACTGCGAGCCCGCCATTTGACTTGTAGATTGCCTAGAACCTGATAAACTGGAAGTGCCCGTGACCCTGTTGGCATTCCAAGCTGGGGCCCAGACGAGAACGCAACAGAAGTTGCAGCGGAGGATGCTGCTGAAGAAGTCATCGCTGCTGCCCTGGCTGCTGCTGCAGCCTGTTCCCTAGCTGCAAGGTTTGCTGCTTCTCTCGATGCTGCGAAAGCATGGGCTCTGCGTTCGGCACGAAGCCATCTTTCTTCTCCCTCGTCTAGGGTCCTGAACACGTACGGGATCCTACTTGATCTTGCACGTGTTAATCTACCATCGTCAACTCTCTCCTCATCGACGTCTGATCCGCTCATGAGTTAGGCAGACTTTATCTGCACTAGAATCCCCTAATGGAATCCTACCGCAACATGTGTCTGACCGACACCTAATTTTCTAGAAATGGTTGTGTCCGGCAAGTCCCCTACTGTACCGATCAAGTGGCATGTCTACAACATTCACACAGATTGTCTACATAGTCTAAATGCACTTTGACTTGTTCACTTACAACAACATTAGTTAGAACTGGCTATGGCAGCATACAACAGTCCTGCACTAATCTGTCTGTGAGGTGTTAGCAGTCTGTCCACCAACTAATCAAAGGTACAAAAAGACAATGTAGCAGATGTATGATTGATGGGTATAGTTATGTACACAGTTGAGCTCCAATTGGAACCTACCCTCCCCTCAATCCAACGTACCGAACAGTATCTTTGAGCGAGCAGTGTCTTCGTGTGTGTATCGGCCCACCCCTGTGCCCAAGTTGTCACCGAGCAAGCCAGACCAACCACTCTTATTTACCCTCGTACGGCGACGAGCCTTCCTGTCCATGTGATCTGGCTGATCAGGAGGAATTTATAGAGCGCCCCCATCTTTTCAGGAATTATTAAACGTCGCAGTCAGGTTGACGATCACAGCCAGATTCACAATGAACTCCCAACCA